GCAACCACTTCTGGTACTCCGGCGGTCCGATAGCGCTGTCCGACACGAACTCCAAGCGATACACTCTCTCCACTTGTCTTCCGTGTCGTAATTTAATCCCTTTATTGGTTCGAGTTTTGCCCAAATTGTAAGTCTTGGCGGTTTCGCTCACATCCGTGATCTGCCCGACGACATAACAACTGGTTTTCGTCGCCGGATTCTGTCCGATATTGATCCGCACGAAACAACCGGTCACTGTGTCCTTGAAGAAGGGCGAGTGACACCACTTCTCCATTTTGAATCGCGACAATCGGATCTCATTCAAGTGATCGATAGTCAAATTCCAGGCCTCGGCTTCGGCCTCGTCTTCGCGATCGCTGTTGTGGTCCTCCCAGTCGTCGGAATCCTTTTTATTGCTGTCGTTTCGTTTTGCGGGCTTTTCGTCGTCCGAGTCGTCCGACGACGAGGAAGAGCTCGACGAAGACGACGACGACTTACGGCTGGCGTTCTTGTCGTCGTCTGAGTCCGAATCGGATGAATACACGTCTGCGGCTCTGAGTCTCTGTTGTTTGAGAGACTTCTCTCTCTTCTTCTCGCGAATCGACTTCAAGTCTTTGAAGACTTACGGCTGGCGTTCTTGTCGTCGTCTGAGTCCGAATCGGATGAATACACGTCTGCGGCTCTGAGTCTCTGTTGTTTGAGAGACTTCTCTCTCTTCTTCTCGCGAATCGACTTCAAGTCTTTGATCGCATCCTTCACTTTCCGCTTGTCCTCCAAATTACGGCGCCTTTCGGTACTCCTCTGCGAGACATCGGTTTGGCTTTTGTTCAGTTCCTTCTTCTTCGCCATCCGGAGCTTCTTCTCGATCTCGAAGCGCGTTCTCAACACTTCCCTCTTCTCGGACCGATTGAACAATTCCTGTTCCCTCTCCTTCTCTGTCATCAATGCGAGCCGTTTCTGGTCGTCTTCGTCGCCCATCAGGTTCTCGTCGTAGCCATCGTTGAACTCTTCCACGTCTTCGTCGTCGTCCTCGACCTCTCCCTCTTCCCTCTCTTCGCTCTCCACCTCCGCCTTCACAGACCTCTTGCGAGCCTTAGTCTTGGCCTTCGCTTTGTTGGACGACTTCTTCGCATTCCAGTCGCCGTCCTCTCCATCAGAACTGGAAGACGAGTCACTCGACACACGACTGGCCTTCGGTTCGTTGGGCTCGTCGTCCGAACTGTCAGACGAGTTCTTCTTTCGCTTTGCCATCACTTCTAACACTTCCGACCACTTCTTCGGGACCACAAAACACACCTTTCGGTCGACTTAACCGCGGATTCGACGCCAATATCTTTCGGTCAATGAGTTTACAGACAATTAATGTGTATTTAAAACGCATTTTTGTGAACAATATATATATTGACTCAAAAATAATGTGTTTTTCGTGTTTTTGTCTCATTTTGACACAAATTATCGCAAAATAAACAATTAATTCAACGAATGGTTACCTCTTTGGAGACCAATTGGGGATCAAATCGACGATCAATTCAATGGAAACTCAATTTAAACCCGATTTTCGTCTCAATTAACAAAAGAATTCATTTTTGACTAAAAATCCGATTTTTAGTGAAATATATATCACAATAAATTACGTCAAAAACCACTCGTTTTGCGGCAAAACCTTACGATTAGTCACAAAAAGTATGAATAATTAGTGATTAAATTCGC